TGAATCGATTTCGTAGATAATTCGTTAAATTGCATGCAATTGAAAAGAGGAAAATGAAAGCAATCACCGCATGATAGATACCGTATACCAAAAACTGAAATTAATAAACTTTGCGTGGAACTAATTGTCACATGTAAAATGTGAAACTTAAACAAATTAACTGATTAATTAAAAGTTAAGCATCTAAACGGAACAATCCTTAATTAGCGTAATATCCTTTATTATTTCATATATAGTTTTATTCAATTGTAGCATTGACGGACTTATACTTGACGCATACACGTATGTTCACGTAACGTCAAGAAGATTCCAAAGAGGAGATTATTCATATTCATAAAGATTTCAAATGTGAAATAAATGGAGGAAAATGAAACCTGTGATCGTACTGTCATACCAAAGCCGCGTTTATCCACGACGATCATTGTCAACAGCGCTTGCAAAATGAGTGCCACAAATGAATTCAGACCAAATATCAATCCATAACTTTCACTGACCATCTTTTTGGCCAAATTCCATCTGCATTAATATTCAGTAATTAATTTTCCATTGAATATTACGATAAATCATGGTAAATAATCACAAATAAATTATCCAATGCATATTGAGAAATGCATTCTGCTTCATAACTTTTCAGTGATAGGCAATTGTGATAACGATAATGTCACGTAATCATTATTATTGAACATATTTGCCGAATTCCGATTATGGAAAAACTTCCATAACGGCACTAATTTTGAAAAATTTCCCTATCAAAATATGGAAATAAATTAAGGACATACTGTGCAATGGTTATCATTACTTGGTAAAGTGTACGATAGCAAATGTAACAAATATACATCACGCAGATTGTTTGCGCTTGGCTAAATAGTAGCAGTAAAGCGCAATCGATGCTTGAAATTAGTACCAAAGCCGCTTCGTCCCATTTATCCCAATCAATTGCTATTACATCCATCAACATTATCGCTACAGCAGCTGAAATAAAATACAAATTTACACCAAAAACGCAATTAATCGCGATTTTTCATTGCAAACATTTATTTGCCGGATTCTATCCGTGCTTATTTTCTGAGTTCATTGATTAATTAAAGCATATGAGGAAACTGATAGTGTGCAGAAATGACGATGATAATTGATGGAAATGTCTCAATGTTTGAAGAGGGCCAAAATGAAAAATACTGCTTGGCTTATTTGAAATGATTATTTGAATGATAAAATATTTAAAAATGCTTGCCACAAGCCGTATAGATGGCTTCTGCCAAGCCATTAAGCGTTGTTTCCTCCTTTTGCACTTCGCCCCATAATGTTTGTGAATAGCTGCTTACCTAACATTGAATATGAATTAACGAAGTAGCACTGACTGATATAATTGAGAAAATGCAAAATATTCAAATTCTACTTACTGTTCTAAGAAATTATGCCAAATATGAATTGTTTGTACATTAAGCTAATAAATTATTGTAATAACATTACTAGTTTGTTTTTACACTAAATTATGCTTTGCTGCTATTGATTGGAAAGATAATTACTTAAAGTAAGTGTTATAATAATTAATAAATCTCACTTGTAAGGCTATGCAAGTCGTCAATGCCCACCAAAGTGACCATTTTCGTAAAAATCGATTTCCGTAGATTTGCTTAAAATCAAACAAAATTTTTTTGATTCGATATTTCACATATATTAGATATGTCTTAGGCTCGTCAAATTGCTGCACATCTGAAAATCACTTTTTTTCTCTCATTTTAAACGTGAATGATTTTAAATGAACTTTGATCTGAATATTTAACATATCACTGAGGTAGCTGCAGAAAATTTGATGCAAGATATTTAAATACAATAACAACAATAATTACTAAGGAATATATCAGGTGTATGTACTAAAAAATAAGCTACAAGTAATTAATGATCAAAAAAATTTTACGGTCAAAATCAATAAAATTTAATTAAATCAAATAATACAAGAAGATCGAACCATTATTAATTTTTATCCGTTCAAATAGTACTTTCCATTGTACCCGTGGAAGAGAAATTCCAATAATGAATACAATAATGGGTGAAATAAGGCCAATTTGATTTACAGTTAAATAAGTGCCAATAT